AAGTAATAGAACTTACTCTTTAGGGTAGACATCTCTACAAGATCCAACCTTCTTAAGGACAATTTCTTCTTGAAAACAACCAACCGAGCCAAGATCAAAATCAGGCTTATTCCTTCTTCGCAACATCAATTCGAACATCGTCCGAGGAGAAATAGCATAGCACGCTAGCTTATACAAATTCAGAGACAATCTAGCATCTTCAGGAAAATACTAAGGGCGTAGTTATCACCAAGAACCCGCCGACTCCTAACACTTCAAAATACAATACCTATACATTATTAAAATCACACAAAATCGTCTCGAGATCTTTAAGCAAGGAAGAGACCTTATAAGAGGCGTTCTATCGCCTATCATTCGATCTCATCCAGATATAAAGAGGATATAACGGAGACAAGTAGATATCCCACTTTACCTACACGCAAAAAGGCTTCTATTTTATTTTTACCCATCTAAACAAGGCAGATACTCAGGAAATTCTTCAGTTTACTATCAAACTAATTAAAACTCGCTATAAGCAAAATATAGTATTCCTACGAACCGACGGAGAAAGAACTCTAGGTCTAGAGACGCATTCTTTTCTTTAAAGCAAGGGAATTACTCTTAAACCATCTACACTAAATACGCTAGAACAAAACGGACACGCCGAAAGATTAGGGGGTGTACTACTTACTAAGGCAAGAGCTATAAGAATTAGCGCAAACCTCCCTAAATCACTCTAGCCAGAAATAATCAAGGCAGCTAGCTACATTTGCAATCGTACGCCACAGAACAAACTCGACTAGAAAATACCTTTCTAGGTAGTCACTAGCAACAAGCCAAATCTCTTATATCTTCGTGTTTATAGCTGCAGAGCCTATATATTAAAGAAGCATATAGCACGAAGCCAGAAGCTTACAGAACGTACTCACCTTAGACATCTTATTAGCTATAATTCTACAAATATCTTTCGTATTTAGATCCCTAGTCAACACAAGGTTATTAGAACTAGAGACGTTATTTTCAATAAAGACGAACTCTACAAGCTAGAGGATCTAGATCTTACTTAACTACTTCAGGAAGAAGGGCAATAATTAATTCAAACGCTAGACATTCCGCCACTTCCACAACAAGAAGAAGAGGATATTAAAGAACCTCTTATTCTAGGCTAAATTACCGTTGCCCTAGGACGACCTCGTAGCTCAGGACAAATACTAGAAACTCAAGAACAATCATTAGATTAAACTAATCTAGGATTCCCGACCCTAAGCCCAACAGAAGACTCGATTCCCTTATAAGAACACTCCTTTTTAGAACCGGAGCCGGAAACCCAGCCAGCTTAATCGTCACTACCGCCTCTCTTACCCGTATAATACGAAACCCTAGCTCTAGCAGGTACTTCCCAAGGTAATAGAGCACCTCGCGCAAATCAGATTTCAGGCAGGATAACTATAGACAATATCCTACCTAAGGGGGTGAATAACGGAAGACGGAGATCTAACAGAAAACAGGCTTATTCCGCAGCACTTACAGAAATCTAGGAAACTCTAAATACTCTATTCTTTACCGCTTTTACAGCA